TGCGAAGCACAAGTACTTACAGTTTTAGTTTATTTAATCATTGATTTCTTCAGATACCGTAGGATTATGACACGTGGATTGGTGGGCCATATTAGGCCACGTGGCCAGTTTGAGCAGTGAATTTTCCCTCTCAATCTAAAGTGAGCCAAACCGTTAGATTTTATCGAAATGGCCACGTGGCCTAATATGGCCCACCAATCCACGTGTCAAAATCCTACGGTATCTGAAGAAATCAATGATTAAATAAACTAAAACTGTAAGTACGTGTGCTTCGCACGTGTAAGGGCATTACTGCCATTTAAAAAAAAAACACGCACCCACCTTCAAGTAAACATGCTCAACTAACAGAAGTAGCCCTAAAGTCTAATTAGTGGATTAAGTTGGACCAAGGTCTAATTAGGCCATTATTGGGTGCCCCAAAACCTAAAAACCCCTAACTTTAATGTCTCGTGCTTCACACGTGCAAGGGTATTCCTGGTATTTTTAAAAAATTAAACACTTAACCAACAGTCAACTGACAGAACTAGCCCTAAAGTCTAATAAGTGGATTAAGTTGGATCAAGGTCTAAATAGGCCATTATTGGGTGCCCCAAAACCAAAAAACCCCTTAAATCTATCCCAAGCTTCATAAATTTCATCATTAGGTTTTTGTGTAAAAGTTTGAATTCTATTTTGAATATCTATCGTTCTAGACATGGGGTAATATTTTGTTAAGAATTTAGAATTCAATTGTTCCCATGTTTTAATTGAGTTTCCGGCTAAGGTATTAAACAATTTTAAAGCTCTCTCGTGTAATGAGAATGGGAAAAATCTAAGACGTATACACTCCGGTCCTAATTTATTTTCATTAAAGGTAGAGCATATCCGAAGAAATCTCTGGACATATGCATATGGGTCTTCTTTCTCATTACCACAAAATATCGGCAATATTTTAAAGATGTCACAATTAATTTGAAATCAATCCATTCAGGTAATTCTGGCAAAATTATACAATTATGGGGTCCATTTGACACGGGTGCAAAGAAATCACGAAGTGTTTTCTCCATAGCTTGATAAATTATATACTTAACCGTATCTCAAAAGCACCTAAGGTGTTGATATCGGGTCTTTTGGTGCGTACTCTTTACCAACTTATTATCAAAACTAAGTTAAGGACACAAAGCAAACACTTCACACTTCTAATTATTGAAAATTAAACCTCTTACGTGAGAGTCAAGGTGTCTAGAGTACACATACCTTTTTCCCTCGAACACGGGCAAACGAGCAAATAATATTCAAAATGGCAAAATACAAAATGTAAATACCTTAAAAGTGATTTGAAACACGTACCTTGGTCCAAAAATTAAAATTCTGAAATTTTTGGA